CGCGATGATGAAGTCCCAAGAATGGCGTTCTGGTACGATTCAGGACCGTCACGACGCAAAAGTCAGGTTGATCCATGGCGTTGGAATCCCGAGAACAATGTTTTGGCATGCTTCAGGGTCTTCAAACGGTTCTCTTGAAACGGGGCAGTTCCCTCAGTGGAAATGAATCGTTGTATGGGGCCCATGTAAAGCGACCTTGGAGGGAGGGTTTATTCCAACATCGTTGGTGACTCTTGGGTTTCCACTGGTCCTCCTCCTCCTCCTCCTCATCCTGCCTCCTCCTACCTCCTCCTACCTCCTCCTCGTACCTCCTCATCCTCCTTCTACTCCTCCTCCTCCTCCTCCTCCTCCTCCTCCTCCTCCTCCTCCTAATCCTCCTCCTCTTCATCCTTCTATTCCTCGTCCTCCTCCCTCCTCCTCCTCCTCCTCCTCCTTCTATCCCTCCTCCGCATCCCCTCCTCCTCTATTCCTCCTCCTCCTTCTATTCCTCCTCCTCCTCCTTCTATTCCTCCTCCTCCTCCTCCTTCTATTTCTCCTCCTCCTTCCATTATTCCCCTCCTCCTCCTAATCCTATTGCCCCTCCTCCTCCTCCCTCCTCCTCCTCCTCATCATCATCATCAGCATCAGCATCAGCGTCAGCATCACATCAGCATCAGCGTCAGCATCATCATCAGCATCATCATCATCATCATCATCATCATCATCATCAACATCATCATCATCAATCATCATCATCATCATATCATCATCATCATCATCATCATCATCATCATCATCATCATCATCATCATCATCATCATCATCATCATCATCATCATCATCATCATCATCGTCGTCGTCGTCATCATCATCAGCAGCAGCAGCAGCATCAGCATCAGCATCAGCATCAGCATCAGCATCATCATCCTCCTCCTCATCATCATCATCATCATCATCACCCTCGTTATGCCTCCTCCTCCTCCTCCTCCTCCTCCTCCTCCCTCCTGCTCTCTCTGGCGGCGACGGGGGCGCGGCCAGAGCCGTTGCAGTCGACCGTGCGCAGCAGGCCGTCCAGAGCCCGGGGCACCTGCAGCCCCTGCCCGGCCAGGCCTTGGCGTACCTCCTGGGCGAGCGCCGCCTCCTCCCCCTCCCCCTCCTCCTCCTCCTCGCTCCTCGCTCCTCCTCGCTTCTCGCTCCTCCTCGCTCCTCGCTCCTCGCTCCTCGCTCCTCCTCCTCCTCCTCCTCCTCCTCCTCCTCCTCCTCCTCCTCCTCCGCCTCGCTGCTGCTGCTCCTCCTCCTCCTCCTCCTCCTCCTCCTCCTCCTCCTCCTCCTCTTCCTCCTCCTGCTCCATTCCTTTTCCTTATGAATAACTTCTCCCTGTCGCACCCCGAAGCCAGTTTTTTCGCATGAGACTTCCTCACCATTTATGACCCTGAAGCTTGAACATTGATTACAGCTTCACAGATGGAGGGCGGGTGGTTTTCAAAATGTGGCTCTCGCTTTAGCGCCGCGCACATTTGTTTTAAACCTCTGCAAGAGTTTCACGGATTGAGGGCGGTTCCTTTTCAAAATGCGGCTCTCGCCTGAGCGTCGCGCAGATTCGTTTACAATATTTGCTAGATCTTCACGGATTGAGCGCGGGTGCTTTTCAACATGTGTTTCTCGCCTTAGCGCGGCGTGCATTCGTTTTACAAGTTCGCAAGAGTTTCACGGATGAAGGGCGGTTCCTTTTTCAACATGTGGTGTTCGCTTCCGCGCCGCCGCGCACATTCGTTTACAAAATTAGCAAAGGGTTCCACGGCTTCCTATGATCAACGTACCAGAAACTGTGATTTGGAAGGATTCAGGCTTATGAGGGTGCAACAGTTAATTACGTAGATTCGCGGTGTTGACGTCCCAGGAATGGCGTTCTGGCACGATTCAGTATCGTCAAGACGCACGAGTCAGGTTGATAAGTGGCATTGTAATCCAGAGAACAATGTTTTGGCATGCTTTAGGGTCTTCAAACGGTTACCTTCCAACGAGGACGTTCCCTCAGTGGAAATGAACCACTGTAGGGGCCTATGACGAGGGGCTTGGAGGGAGGGCTTATTCCAACATCATTGATGACTCTTGGGTTTCCACTGGTCCTCCTCCTCCCTCCTCCTCATCCTCCCTCCTCCTCCTCCTCCTCCTCCTCCTCCTCCTCCTCCTCCTCTCCCTCCTCCTCCTCCTCCTCCTCCTCCTCCTCCTCCTCCTCCTCCTCCTCCTCTTGCCCCTAGGAGGATTTTGGTGGAGGAGGAGGAGGGGGAGGAGGAGCCAGGTCCTCCGCAGACAGCTCGCCGTCGCCGTCGCGGTCCATGTCGCGGAAGAGCTGCCTGACCGCCCCCTTTCTTCCCCCAGACAACCTCCGACGGATGGATTCTATGGCATGCGCAGGGCCCTCGGAACCTCGACCCTCTTTCCTGGCCGGGGGGGCTTGCTTTTTGCCCGCTGTGGCCTGCTTGCTGATGGCCTCGGGGCACGAAGACGGGCAGCGGGCCCGGCAAACGACAAGGCGAGCAAACGGCTGGCCCGCGAGGCGGCCGCAGCCGTGGCCACGGTTCCCCCCAGAGGCTCGCAACTTGGGCGCCGTGGTGCGCGCAGGGAAGAGGAGGAGGAGGTGGAGGAGGAGGAGGAGGAGGAGGAGGAGGAGCAAGGAACCCTGAGAGCGACGAGGTGGGAGACCTCCGTCCTCTGCTTGCATAGAGCGTCAAGTTGGAAGCCTGGGCCTCGGTGCGCGTATGGGGCCCGCACGGGGATGCGTTCTGGTCGGACTTCCGAGCGGGGCCCAACTACCGTGGCGACGAGAAGACCCCCAGAGGCCCCCAAAAGGCAGGAGGAGGAGGATATGTAGGAGGAGGCGGGAGGAGGAGGAGGAGGAGGAGGAGGAGGAGGAGGAGGAGGGAGGAGGAGGAGGAAGAGATGGAGGAGGAGAGGAGAGGAGGAGGAGGAGAGAAGGGGAGGAGGAGGAGGAGGAGGAGGACGAGGAGGAGGAGGAGGGAGGAGGAGTAGGAGGGAGGAGGGAGAGGGGAGCATGGAGGGAGGGAGGAGGGAGGAGGGAGGAGGGAGGGAGGAGGAGAGGGAGGAGGAGGACGGAGGAGGAGGAGGAGAAGGGAAGGAGGAGGAGGAGGGAGGAGGAGGAGGAGAAGGCGGCGGGAGGGGAGGAGAGGAAGAGGAGGAGGAGGAGGAGGAGGGGATGAGGAGGGGAGGAGGAGGAGGAGGAGGAGGAAGAAGATCCCACCGCGAAATCCAAGAGCAAGTCTGCCTGAGCGATGCTCCGCAGTCCACGGGCCCCCGCTGTTTCAATGCTCGCGCCAGCAATGGCCCCGACGATTTCGGATTCTTCCTCGCACCCCGCGGACCGTGTCGCGCGAGCCACTGGATCTTGAGGTCAAGGGAACGGGAGGGGACAGAAAGGTCTGCCCCCCTAGGACCCTGCAGAACTCTTGGAGCACGTCCAAGCAATCTACCCCCAGCTTCCTCCTGTCCTCGTCCTCCTCCTCCTCCTCCTCCTCCTCCTCCTCTTCCTCCTCCTGCTCATCCTGCTCCTCCTCCTCCACCTCATCCTCCTCCTGTGACCTCCTTCTTCTCCTCCTCCTCCTTCTCCTCCTCCTCGTACTCCTCCTGCTCCTCCTCTTCCTCCTTCTCCTGCTCCTCCTCCTCCTCCTCCTCCTCCTCCTCCTCCTCCTCCTCCCTCCTCTTCTCGCTTTTCCTCTTCCTCCTCTTCCACTTCCTCCTATATTTTCTCCTCCACTCCCTCTTTCCTCTTGATATTCCTCCTCGTCCTCCTCCACCGAGGCCTTATGCCCCCTCCTCCCTCCCTTTCCTTCCTCTTTCCCCCCCTCGCCCCTCCCCCGTCTTCCTGGTCTATCCTCTCGCTCCCTACTCCCTCTTTCCTCTTCCTCCCCAACCTCCTTTTCCTCACTCTTACCCCGTCGCTCCTTCCCCCCCTCAGCCCCCACCCCCTTCCCCGCCACCCCAGAAGTCTCCAGAACCTTGGACGCATCTCTCCTGAGGTCCTCGGAGGCCTCCAGGTGTCCCTGGAGGCCTCTGGAGGCACCCAGAGGCCCGACAAGGGCCCAAACCGCCTCAACGCCTCGATTCTCGAACCCCGACGCCTCGATCCTCCTTCCTCCCCTCGTTGTCTGGGTCGTCTTCAGGACGGCGCGGATCTTCTTTCACGACGACCGCCCCGCCAACGAACGCTGCACAAGACCGCAGCAAAGCTGCGCCGCAGCGTGAAACGGAGGGGCGCCGCGTCAGAGAGGAACGCTGCCCGCAACAGGGGGGCAGTCTGTTGGGGCGATGCCTCCTTCTGGGTCCCCCCCTCCCTCTGCCCGTCGGCCACGCGGAAGAGCTGTCCTGGGCAAGAGTTGCAGTTGGTGCGCGGCTGCAGGGGAGCCAGGTGCGGCGGGTGGGGAGGGTGGGTGGGGCGGGGGAGAAGGGGGAGAAAGGGGGAGGGCAAACCCTGGCGCCCACGCCGCGGCCATCGCACCGCATTCGGCGATCCGGGGACCCCGGTGGAGACGGTGCCCGCAGCCAACGCCAAGGCCACTCCAGCGAAGGCCCACTCTTTCGCGGTGGCCGACTCCCAGCACGTGAGCGTTTTCTTATTCGGCGTTTCGGCATTGGGCGAAGGGGGGGGGGAGGGGGAGGGTCTGGCTCTGGACCTCGGCTTAGTGTGACTGTCCCAAACGTGCGCCCTGTGGGGGAGACTCCACCTGGTCGAAACAGGCGCCAAAAACGGCCAACATGAGAGGGGGGAGGGGGGGGTGCGATGGCCCACGCCGATTGGCAAAACAATGAATAAGAAAACGATCACCACTTCGAGTAGGGGATTGACTACAGAATTGGTTTCCCCTATGTTTGTTTTTCGCCGAATCTACGAACAACACGTAGAAGCGCGATCGAATCTACAACATTTCCACGACGTAATTTTGGTTCATCCCGTGCATTTCGGTAAATCAGTGCTGTAGTCGATCCCCTACTCGAGCACTTTGTCTCCTGTGCCAGCCGCCCCCCGACACCAACGGGCCGTGCGGGCGGTGGCAAACGCGGCGCGGCGGCAGATTCCGAAACACTTCGTCCTGCGCTGTGCGAACGTGGCTGTCTGTCTCCCTCCCCCCTCCCGCATCCTTCTCGTCCGAACATCTCCATCCCCTGACTCCCACCTCCGTCATCCTCCCCTCAGCACATCTGACTCTCGGATTTACAAGTTCTCCTCCCCCATCCCCTCCTCCTCCTCCTCCTCCTCCTCCTCCTCCTCCTCCTCCTCCTCCTCCCATCTCTTCCTCCTCCTCCTGCTCAGACTCCTGTTACTACTACTCCTACTGCTGCTGCTGCTGCTGCTGCTCCTCCTCCTCCTCCTCCTCCTCCTCCTGCTACTACTACTACTACTACTACTACTGCTACTACTACTACTACTACTACTACTACTACTACTACTACTACTACTACTACTACTACTACTACTACTACTACTACGAACTACGAACTACGAACTACGAACTACGAACTACGAACTACGAACTACGAACTACTACTACGAACTACGAACTACGAACTACGAACTACGAACTACGAACTAC